GTACTGACCCCAAAGCCCAAACCTTTGAATGTTAGTGTATATGTACATACATATATATATATATATACAGTATAAATAGTTTAGGGTCCAGTTCTCAATATTAACTTATTTCTTATTAGCATGCATATTACTAGGATGTTCTTGGCTGTTTATTACTACTAATAAAGCACAAATTAATATCTTATTCTGCATGACCATATTCAACATCCCTAATCCTACCAATACCTAAACTTAACAACTACCTATACTAACTATTAATGAGCAGTTATTAGGAGTTTATTGAGGCAAAATTTGTAGCTTATAGTTGCTTAATTGTGAAAATCTGACCCTAATCTAAAGTGTGACCATATATACATACATACATACTGTATATATATATATAAATGTATTAATTAATGATAACTTTAGATAACTATCAAATATTGCACTCCCTTATTTTAACATCTCATTCATTTTTCCATTTCAAAATAACCCAGATCCCAGTCTGTCAGTGGAGGTGTGGGAGGAGCTCTCGCTGACACATGTCTCACAGATGTTTTTTCTCTTGTGGTGGGATTGCCAAATCAGTGCAAAGGCTTTTTAAAAAAGGCCCTGTGCTCCACCCTGCAGCCCCCTCCATGACTTTACGAGCCTCCCAAAAACTAGGAGTAAACAGAGCAGCAAATGGCCGATAGTGAGTGGAGACACAGTCGCTGAAAGATGACTGCCAGTAAAAAATCCTGACAGTACTACTCCAAGCACACGTGTCCGTCTGCACTCTCTGAGTATTTCCCACTTGATGATTTTTTATGTCACTTTGGTAAGGAAGGAACTCTGTAATGTATACATTTCAATGTTTATCTTCTAAGACTTAAATGTAAAGTAGCGAAGAAAAGAGAAAACGTACTAGCTTATAAACCTGGTGGTGGGAAAGAAAGAGCAACTAAAAGATACAAAGAAAACAGAGGGGACGTCTGAGAGTTAAAGATAATGGAAGGAGGAAACAGGCCAGACCATGAGATGACTCTGCCAGACTGTTTACTTTGCAGCTAATAATCATTGTACACACACGCCGTGCACACGCACACACACACAAACCCCTGTACAGGGGTGGTCCTATCTAATGGTACCACTAAACTTTACTATATACCATGGTGTTGTATGATTACTGGATTTATAATCGCTGCACAGGTTTCACTAAAAATGATAACTTGATTTTGGCTTGACAAAGCCTTGTCTAAAATTTTACCATTTAAAACTACGCTCACAAAACCGTAGTAACACCATGGTACTTTTTGTAAGGGTTATTTTTTCTTCCCACGCAATCCATTTGATGTAATTAAATGGTCGTAGAAGCCTATGTCTAAATTGTTCCCACTCATTGGTAAAGAATGAATTCCCAAAGGCTGACAAGAGTTAAAAACAAACAGTCATGCTGCTTTAAGATTGTGCCTGTGGTCTGTCCTCTCACAATCTCCTTCCTTGTGTGTGTATGGGGTCAGATCAGGCTCCAAACAGCTGACTGGACCCGTGTGTAATTGTTTGTGTGTGAGTAAGAGTATGTAAGAGTCTGGAACTTAGAGAGAGAAGCAGAAAGCGTTTTAAAGGAAGTTTAGTCACATGAACATCAGTCTGTGCTTCCCGGCTGATCATATGGTTGTGTTAAAATCAAATGGTGAAAAATGCATAACCATAATGCAGAAGAACATTTAACAAATCCTCAGACAGAAATATGTTCACTAACGCTCTTATAAAAAAGACTATTTAAGTTAAGAGTCTAGCTTGCAAATAAAGAAAGTGCCAGCCTCATAAAACTCCTCCCTTCTTTTGCTGGACTGTTTGTGTTGGAGCCTGTGGGCCTGGCACGAAATTCATATTCCCTAAAGTAGACGAGCAATCATGAGTGCCGATTCTCTGCTGACGCTCCCTCAAGGTCTACACAGAAAGCGTGTGTGTGATTTTTAGTGGCATGATGTCATGGAAAGACCTGCAAATCAAACAGACCTTTATATGTAATAATAAGAGTATGTGTTTAGAGTATGGGAAGATTTATTAAAGCCGGTTTCTGCTTCAGAGTAAAAATAAATAAATAATACATAAATAAAAAGGGAAAACTGCGATCCTCTTCCCCAATTGTGACTTTACTTCTTGTAATTACCGATAATAATAATAATAATTTAGGTTTACAATGGGATATAGTTTAAAATGTAATAAAAAAACTTTATATTAATTAATTAATTAATTATATATACACAACCATTCAAGATTTTTTTGTTTTAAAGAAATTAAAGCTTTTTCAGCAAGAACACATTAAATGATCAAAAGTGACAGTGAAGACTTTTACACTGCTTCAAATAAATTATGTTCTTTTAAACTTCATTTAAAACAGGGTTTCTCAAAGTTTTGATAGGTGAGGGCCAATTTATTGGTGAGGTGAGGGGGAGAAAACGAAGAAAAAAAAACTGAAAAGAAAATCCCATTTGAAATTATTTTAATGACCAGGTTGCATCTCTACAGTTTACATTAGTTGCAATAAACACATTTTAATTCATAACTGAGGCTAAACCTGGCAAAACTTGTGAAAATTTTTGGGGGGAGAGAAAGAAACTTTTAAAATAGAAGCTTACCAAACAAGTCATCATCATCATTCATTTCTATCATTGCTTGTCAGTCGCATTTCCATTATTGCAGATTTGCATATTATTATCTATCTTTTTTAACCCGTAACTGAAAAACGAAAAATGAACGGTTGTTGTCTTTTTAAAACGCAAAGTTGAACAAAATTTTAATTTGAACTGGCTTCACCAACTGCTGCGCAAAAAAAGTAAATATCGACAGACTTTTTTCAGATTTTTGTTTAAATGACTTTTTGCCCCTTTATTAAACATTTTAAATATTCACAAATTAATATGGAAAACATGTCGATTTTACTGGTTTTCTAAGGCCAAATTAGAACCTGGAATTTATATTTTTCCCGCAGTGATGAATGAGAAGAGCCATATAGCCTGTACGTGTCTGATCTAGCCTGATTTGAGTTATAGGCTAATGATAATAAATGCGTCTGAAAAAACAGCGAGGCATTTTAATTGTTTATTAATAAACTATTGTTTTCTAAGTGTCGGCTAAAAACATATCTCCATCTCCGCTGTTAAGCAGATGCGCTTTTAGAGAGAAATCCACCTTTCATACGGATTACATAATCAGGTATTTGCTTTCGATTCGAGTTTGTTTGTTTAAAAGTGCACATTTTAAGCTTTAGCCTACATAGGCTATATTTTGTTTCAGTTCTCGCGCTCCAGTTCACGGAGATCATGAAAGCGCGTAGTAGCCTAGGCTACTGATTGTTTTATTTTATTTTACAAAAGCACGTTTTCTTGTTATGAGTTTACACAAATAAAAGTAGTTGCGAATAATGCATTATTATTTTCTGTATGACCAGAAATGATAGACTAGTTTAAGTTGTTTCCACTGTTGATAGGAAAATGCAAGTGTTCGCGCCCGCGAACATTTTGAAAGGTAATGGAAACGCGGCTATTAATAAGCTTGACATTGTTAAGATTATTATTAAGTCACATTGAATATTGATTACTTGGTCAACATACCCTTTTAAATTGCAATGGGATTTGTGGTGCTGGTTTCGGTTGGCCACGATTCCTATTCCTGTGTAGACAACCACTGTTCCTGGTGGCCTTGGGAGTGAGGTCAAGTGCGATCGGTCGGTCGGACCATGTAATTACCGCTTATGCCTATGGATGCCGCTAAACACCACTAAACGGAGATATTCATTTTTTCAAAGCAATAGTTTTAACAGTTTTACAGATGTTATCGCGGGCCGCCAGAAATGTTTCGGCGGGCCGCCATTGGCCCGCGGGCCGCACTTTGAGAACCTATGATTTAAAAGAATCACAGTTTGCACAAAAAAATATTAAGCACAATGGTTTTCAATTATGATAATAATAAATAAATTTAAAAGTTACTTAAGCACCAAATCAGCATATTAGAATGATATGATTTCTGAAGGATCATGTGACACTGAAGACTAAAGTAAAGATGTTGAACAAAATGATAAAAAAAAAAAAAAAAAATCAGCATCTTTACTTCAGTCTTCAGTGTCACAAGATCCTTCAGATTTTTTTACCTTTATTTAACCAGGATAATCTCTCTGAGATTAAAAATCTCTTTCACAGGAGTGTCCTGGCCAAGAATGGGCAGCAGTTACAATCACAAACTTACAGATCAAAATAACAAATAAAACATTAAAACACTTAAAAACAATTGCAAATCATTGAGTCTTCTTCAAGTGACCGAATAATAGATATAAAATGTTCCCTAGACACCAGAATTTGGAGTAGATTCCATTCAAACGGAGCTGCATACATAAAAGCCCTTTTTTCCAGTTCAGTTCTGACAAATGGAACAGAAAGAGTATAACAATTTTGAGTCCAGAGGGAATATTTCCCAACACTTTTCTGTTGAAAAAAGCATTCTAATATGCTGATTTGGTGCTCAAGTAACATATATATATATATTATAAATTCCAATAATATTTCACAATATTAGTTTTTACAGTATTTTTTATCAAATAAATTCCAACTTAATGTTTTTGAAAGAAGTCTCTCATGCTTTTGAATGCTAGTGTAGTTAAAAAAAAATCATATCATATCTCATTGTAAACTTTGTCTTAGACATTCTCTAATTACCTTTATTTTTTACTCTGAAACAGAATTCTATATAGATTTGACAGTCCAAGAACATGACTAACACTAATGTGAGCAAACGAGGACTAGGTTTCACAAGCAAACTCAAAACAATGTCATCTTCAGACCTGTCATCACTCGACCATAAAATCCTGCTTTATCATGTGTCATAGTAGTAAATTGGGTCAAAGATAATATTCTGACTGCTTTCCATCCTTAAAACTACAAAAGCTGCCTTTTCATTCAGTCATATGGGTTTCCCAATGTTTCCTAAACCAGCCCATAGATAGCTTGAATTAGCTGAAACTTAAAAGGATAATTCATCCAAAATGAAAAAAGTCATAATTTACTCACCCTCATGTCATTCAAAACCTGACGTTCTTTCTTCTGTAGAACATAAAAGAAGATATTTTGAGTAACGTCTGTGCTTTTGTTCATACAATGAAAGTCAATGGTAACCAAAACTTTCACCAAAATATCTTTTGTGTTCCACAGAAGAAAGGCGGTCTCTCAAACACAAAAAAAGCAAGAAAATTGAAAATTAAAATAAATTATGGTCACAGTTTAGTTTAGGGTCCAATTCTCACATATTAACTATCTATTATCTTCGACTTTTACCTCAATAAACTCCTAATAACTGCTTATTAATAGTTAGTAAGGTAGTTAAATTTAGGTATTGGGTAGGATTAGGATTAAGGGATGTAGAATATGGTCATGCAGAATAAAGCATTAACATGTGCTTTATATGTACTAATAAACAGCCAATATCCTAGTAATATGCATGCTAATAAGCAACTAGTTAATAGAGAGAATTGGACCCTAAACTAAAGTGTTACCGAAATTATTATGGCTTCGATGAGACATCAAACCTGCAAAATCTGTGGCGGTTTCTGATGAATTTTGGGGCTGACTGCTAAGTTTGCAACAGTGAGTCAGCATTTGACAGGTTCTTATGATTCATGGCAAGCTGGAGTCTGATTCTAAGTATAAACCTAGCTGTGGAATTTGAGCTGGGAGCTTAATAAAAGTTTAAACCGTATATAATCAGATCAAGAACTAATAATAAGGCAGAAACTGACATTTTAGAGAAAACAATTGGAGGAGGGGTAAAGAGGGTTTGATGTCAATTATCAAGCTCTCTGTCAAGCAGGACTGTCTCACTCTGCCCTCTGTTGGACTAAAATAATATATCATCCGGTTCCACTACACTGAAATAGTTAGTTTTAGTGAAGAAGGAGGCAGATGCTGCATGTGACTGATAATCATCATCAACATTGTTTTGCCTTCTAACATACTGGGAAAGAAAGCTGGACACCTACCTTGTGGATAGCGGTCATCTTGCGTAAGAAGCTCAGCGTTCGTTCCAGCCGATTTCCTGATACGTGATGCTCTTTGTTTTCGCCCCCCTCAGCCTTTATTTGTCCTATATCCCAGTCCAGAGCAGCACTATCTATACTGTACCAGAAAAAAAAGTTAAATGGTTGCATTAAAAGTATGGATATTTGCATTAAGTATGTAAGGCCACGCCTGATTAAAACACACACCTGTAAGATGAATCTCCAATCTGGTGGTACGAAACACTCTCTAGATTGCCGAACAAGATAAGACATTTTATTCTCATTGAAATGAAACTTGAATTCAAACGAGCATATGACATCTTAATGTTAGTTTCCGATTCAGAGCAAAGCAGATATGTCACAAATAAAGAGCAAAACACAGTAAATATAACAAAAATATTTGAACACTTTTTATTTTATTTAAACAGGGAAACCTACACTACCACTCAAAAGTTTGGAGTTGGTAAGCATTTTAATGTTTTTGAAAGAAGTCTCTTATGCTCAACCAAGGCTGCATTTATTTTATCAAAAATACAGTAAAACAGTAAGTATTCATTTCTTAAAAAAAAAAAACATTTCCATTTTCTGACCCCAAACTTTTGAACAGTAGTAATAAAACTTTATAAAAGATGTCAAAAAAAAAAAAAAAGTCAGAAAAAGAACCACATAGCAAAAGGGATTCATATTTTCATTTAAAATTGAATTCGTATGAATAAACTGGAGATCCCAAACATACTGACCATGGCAGTAGGAGCGCGGACGAGGGGCGGAGCTCTTAGGCATCTGTTGCATCATACACAGGGTGGGGGCGGAGACACTGCAGCCATGCATCTGATTGGACTGCTCCTGAGACAGAAATTCAGAAAGAATGAAGAAAAAAAAATGAAAAAAAAACCCCCCACAAAACTGAAACACAACAAATTTGCCCAAATAAAACGAAATTATTTCGTTCAACCGTTCAAAACTTTGGGGTCAGTTATTTTTTTTAATGTTTTTATAATGTTCTCCAATGCTGCTCTAAGGTTACATTTATTTGATCAAAATACAGTAAAAACATTAATTAAATGTATATATGTATGTTACATGATGAGAAGAACCTAAAACGCTTTATAACCTGCATATATTCACCTCTGACACATCGGTTTGATACTGTAAATATGGTTAGCTCCTTTATCTGTTGCTGGTTTGAGTGAGACACGCACATTCGTTTAGTGAAGTTCAAAAGAGACTAGTTCATGGTAAATAAAAACCTTTTTGCCATTATCCAGACCTTGAAATGACTCAAATCTAATTCCATATTTGTCAATACTTTTCCAAACTGCATTGGAACCCTGTATTACTCCAGTCTTCTGTGTCACATGATCCTTCAGAAATCACTCTAATATGCTTATTTGCTGCTCAAGAAATAATTATCTCTTATTATTATCAATGTTGAAAACAGCTGTCCTGCTAAATATTGCAGCACTAAAAAATATAATTCAGAATTCTTTGAACAGAAATGTCAAAAGAACAGCATTTATTTGACTATTTGTGTAACATTGAAAAAGTATGTACTGTACTTTTCTCACAATTTAATGCATCCTTGTTAAATAAAAGTTAATTTTAAGTCCTCCACTTAAAATAGAATTTATTGCATTCCATTAAATGCAAGTTCAATATTGAGCGGTTCACATCAGTATTTCCTTAAATAACAAAAAAAACTCTAAAGTAATTTCTTTGGGGGGTTTCTCTCTTTGAAATGAGGGCTGAACCTTGATCTCAGGAACTCAAAAGGAAAAATTAGATGAGCTGTTTTATTTTATATTTATATTGTCTATCTATGGGGTTTGCATTTTTTTTCAGCCTTAGAAGGTCACATGTACACAGCAATGCAGCTCATTAGCTGTATGCATGTTCTAACCTCTAGCACTGATCGATGATGTTCCTGATGCTCAGCACCAACTTCCTCCTCTGTAAGTGACGTCAGGGAGGCTTGAGTGACAGACCTGCGGCGGGATTCACGAGCTCTCTTTGACCTCAATGCACCGTTCAGCACTAAGGACATCTCATCCGGGTCCAGATCTTCCAGACTTACACTGAAAAAGAGACAGAATCAACACTAAATTCACATACATTGTTATTGCATGACACGATACAATAACTCTTGGCAAGTAATTGTAGGTCGGACTTGTTTTTGTCCTGTCGTCTGATGAGTATCATTACAGAGTACCACAAATTATAAGTTACACAGTACATCTGCAATAACATAAACAAACCTACACATATGTAAACACAAACATATATACAAACTTCATAACATTAAAGATTTATAAAAAAAACTTCAATCTCACTCTTTTCTCTTCCTTTAGTTGATTATAAGTCAGTAACACTAACCAGAGAACGACCCAAACTGCAGTGTAATGTTAGCTCCCTACTGGAGAGACCTATGTATGTCTGTGTGTGTTCTTATCTGTGTGTGTGTGTATGCGTCTGTCTCCTCACTGAGTACATTGGCACTGGCTGGTAGTGATCTCACAATAATAGTCCACAGAGTGACACAGTAGAGGCCCTATATCGGCACAGTTGTGAGGACGAGTGAGTGTGTGTGTGTGTGTGTGTGCGCTTATGAGTGTGTGTGTGCGTGTGAGTTTGAGTGAGTGTACGTGTGTGTGTGTGTGTGTGTGTGAGTGAGTGAGTGAGTGAGTGAGTGAGTGAGTGAGTGAGTGAGTGAGTGAGTGAGTGAGTGAGTGAGTGAGTGAGTGTGTGTGTGTGTGTGTGTGTGTGTGCGTGCATGTGTGTGTTTGTGTGTATGTGGTTCAGGTAAACCCTACATTATCGGGACAAAATGTCTCCACAAAGATGGCAATATCTGAAATCCCTGTGATTGTGGGGACATTTTTTGGTCCCCATGAGGATAACAGCTTATTAATCATACTAAGTGATGTTTTTCCAATATGTAAAAATGCAGAAAGTTTGAATATATTGAATATATACAATTTATTCAATACAATTTGAACAGTATAAAAATCATTATGTCTATGGAAAGTCCCCATAAAACATGGAAACCAATAATTTGGGCATGGTATACCATATTATATATTGTAATGGCCTAACTCAGTATAAAGTATTGTAATTAAAAAGAAGTAAAAATGTTCTTTTAAACATACTAAGGGTAAGAAAAATATAAACTTATATATATTCATATTTTGCAGGTTTAACCATTAATTTCAGTAAACATTTTAAGTAAATAATTTAGGTTGTGAGGGTTTGCTGACAAAAAGACACATTTGTTTATATTATAAAATGCAAAAGTTTGGAGTCAGTAAGATTTTGTTTACTTTACTTTAAAGGGGTCATATAATGGTACATTCACTTTTTCAAGTTGATTATACTGAAATATGTGTTGGCAGTGTCTGTACACAACCATCATATAATGATAAAAATCCATCCAGTGGTTTTGTTTTAATCTCCTTATATGTTTTCCCCTGCCTCAAATTGAGCCGTTCGTTTTAGTGACGTCAATAAAACGGACGCCCCTCCTACGATTGTTGAGTGACAGCAGCGCTTCAACACAGACACGCCCTCGCTCGTGAGCGAGATGTCAACATAGTCCGCCATTGTTGATGCGCTCGAGCAGAATGGCGTCTAAGCGATTGTGGTGTTCTGTTCGTGGGTGTAATAACGAACACAGCAGTCATTTTAATGTTCCTAAATCCGAACCGCCGAAGACGCAGTGGCTGTGTTTGTTTTCGAAGGGAATATTCCCCACGAGCAACGTCAATGCTCTCATGTTTGCGCGAATCATTTCTCACCAGACTGCTTTATAGACGAGGATCAGTATAAAGCTGGATTTGCTAAGCTGCTGCTCATGAAAAATGGATCGGTAGCTGCTACCAGATATTCGTGTTCCTGCTGAATCTCCAGAAGAACGGAAGTGAGTGTAACGTTTTATTAAACTTTATATTAATATATTAATCTTTGCAAATCGCTAGCTGCACGCTTCACAATGAATGCGTCTAAGGTTTACACTTAGGGTACATTACGGCATGTTTTCTATGTATGACGTTCTCAATATAATTCATAATCCCACGTTTATACTGAACGCGTTATGGTTATTGTGTTATTGAGTTACAAATGGTGTACGCCAGAGCCGGCTCTGGTGTACGCATAGAACAGAGGGGCGGAGTCAGCAAAGCTCATGATCATTTAAAGTCATATACACTGAAACGGCGTGCTGAAAACAGAGCTGTTTTTGACCAGGTAAAATAAGTGTTTTCTTACAATACTAATGAGAATTTTTAATTAAAGTATATTACAAACTTTTAATTTAGACCCTAAAGAATCATATTAGCTTGTACAAAAATGGCATTATATGACCCCTTTAATACTTTGACTCAGCAGGTATGCATTAAACTGATAAAAAGTAAACAACTTATAATGTACTTAAACTTAAATTATAAGTAAAAACACTTATAATGTAACAAAAAGTTTACATTTCCAATAAATGGTGTTCATATTTATCAAGGAATTGTAAAGAAATATTAAGCAGCACAATGATTTTCAAAATTGAAAACAAGAAATATTTCTTGAGCAGCAAACCATCATATTAGAATGATTTCTGAAAGATCATGTGACACTGAAGACTGGAGTAATGGCTGCTGAAAATGCCAGCTTTGCAATATTAAAAAAATGCAGCTCACAATATTACTGTATTCTCGATAAAATAAATGCAGCCATGGTGAATGGCTCCAATTTATATGATATGATGTTTAGCCATCATAATAGCATTTTATTATATGTCAGTACAGATAAAGCCAAATTAGTCACAATTTCCTTTTTTAAATTTTAATTAATTCAGGCAGAGCACACTTGGATCATTCTGAAGAACTAAAGTGCCACAGATGTAAATGTGTTTTCACCTGCGTGAGTCATTGGGTTGATATCCCTGTGCCACGGCTCCAGGTTCCCAGCTGTGTCTCCTCCAGGGGTCGATCTGAAGCAGGTGACGAGTGGCAGGGGAGCGTAAGGTCACGACCGGAGGGCCGGGGGAGATCGGTGGAGAGGATTGAGGAGGTGAGAATGAGGAACATGAAGGACGGGGAGAGGGAGGAGGAGTGCTCGACATCTAGGTGTAATGAGTAAGGGAACGAACAAATGAGTTTGTGTTGTAAGTGTGCATGAGAACAATTCATGCAAAATTACTGGCATGTAAACATACACAGTTCTTTCCTCACACAGAAACACATGTGACCCTGGACCACAAAACCAGTTACATGGGTCAATTTTTTTAAATTGAGATTTATACATCATCTGAAAGGTGAATAAATAAGCTTTCTATTGATGTATGGTTTGTTAGGATAGGACAATATTTGGAATCTGAGGATGAAAAAAAATCGAAACATTGAGAAAATCACCTTTAAAGTTGCCCATTTATGTTCACGATTGTGATGCATTCACTCACAAAAATTAATGTTTTATATATTTACGGTAGGAAATTTACAAAATATCTTCATGGAACATGATCTTTACTTATTATCTTAATGATTTTTGGCATAAAATAAAAATCTATAATTTTGACCCATACAATGTATTGTTTGTTGGCTATTGCCACAAATATACCCTTGCTGCTTGTGACTGGTTTTGTGATCCAGGGTCATATATGCACAATTTCATACCGTGTCCATAAGGTCAGGCAGCTCCTCAGGGCCCATACTCAGATTATAGCTTCACTGCTCCCCCTACAGATCAAAATATGACATTACAGATTCTTAAGAATGTGCTTGGGTAAAATAGTTAAAGGCACACTGCGGAACTTTTTGGCCACTAGTGGCGCTCGACCTGTAACTTTCACGTCTAGCGTCCCTAGAGGCCACAAGCTCCGCAGCACTGTCGCAAAAGTCAACCGGTCCGCCTATAGACAGTGGGTCAGCTTCCCGTGTCTTTAGATCAGTGGTTCTCAATCTTGGTCCTAGGGAGCCACTGCTCTGCACATTTTATATGTCTCCTTTATCTGACACACCCACTTCAGTTAATAAAGCTCTTTCCTAACGAGCTGATGATCTGAATCAGGTGTGTTAAATGAGGGAGACATACAAACTGTGCAGAGCAGTGGCTCCCTAGGACCAGGATTGAGAACCACTGCTTTAGATTATGTGTGCTTGCAGTGTTTGAGGCGGGCAGCCTGGCCGCGGTCGATTCCCTTATAGCAGTCTGCTGAGAGAGAGCGAGCGGGGCGAGCCCCGTGGGGCTTATGGTGTGTTCACACCGAACGCGAATAGAGCGTCAAATACGCGTCTATCGCGTCTAGTTAGACGCTTGAACATTCGCTCGAGTTCAAATATTTCAACTTGCGCGGAAGACATTCGCGGCAAACGCGTCGCCCAATTCGCGTCATTCGCAACGCCTGGCGCGAATGATGCGTCTATTCGCGTCTTTGCATTGACTTTGTATGTAATCTACTCGCGGAAATAATTAAATTCGCGTTCGGTGTGAACACACCATAAGTGCTAACATGTCTGTGAGTGAATGTGGGCGCGGGACGGCGGGCACATTTACTGCACTAAAAACACCGTCGGCCTGAGCTGACTGTAAGCTATGTGTGTTGGTTTCGTTTTACAGAAACCGTGGGACATGTTGTCTGTAGTGTTTGTGGGCACTGAGTCGTGGGAACGTTCACTACATTTAATGTAGCAGCTACATTTGACATGAGTCGATTTTATTTGTTCGAGCCCTGCACTGTGGCGGGCTGTGTTTGTGTGTAGAAATGAACAATGGGCTGTGGGCATTTTATTACACTCATAACACCATCGGCTGTGGCCGGAATACCAGACAATACTACACTGCTTATATGATTTATCTGTGTCACCTTGGAAACGGCATTTGTGTGCAGGCAAGCGTTAGCATCGGTCGGGCACCCATCCTCCTCCTGTAGCTCCATAGACGTGTAACGTTAGCTCACGCCAGCGAGCGAACGCTGGACCAATGGTGATCCTCGTCCTGGCTTTTCATTTGTCACTATGCCCTTTTCTTTTTTTTAGTGTCCTCTGACAAAACCTTTGCCTTCTTCCTTGTAGCTGTTGGTTCGGCCATGACAAAAACATACAGACGGCAATCAAACGCGAGTTGAGCACTCACGTCAGAATCTGAGGAAGTTGTGGGTGGTGGGGGAAGTGACGTATGCCGTAAAGCGGTCGAATTTTGTAGTTCTTTTTGTGCTCGGGTTCCTACCCGAACCCCGAAGTTACATAGTGCTAGTAAAAGCGATACAGACACCTTCAGGCTACGGCAGACGTGTCATTCAACCTATTGTAAGTCGATGTACCATCTCAATGGGTTTTGGTAATATATTATAAAGGTTGAAAAGTTCCACAGTGTGCCTTTAAAACAACAACAAAACTTAACACAAAAGTCATATCCAATACACCTGCTAGAGATCCAGACCACCATTCATCCATCAAGTCAAGTCAAATTATTAATAATCTTTTAATGCCGTCACCAGCAAGACTATCTTCAAGGCGAGAATAAAGTGATTATTTATTAATGAAACATAAAACACTTAAAATTAAAACAAGACTAATTTTAAAACACTTTTTTGAAAACCATTTAAACATATCCCTGAATAAAAGCGTTGTCTATTTAGGCTACATTAAAAACAGCTTCCCCAACACTGGGATGTACATGTACAATAAATTATAGAAATAATAATAACAACAATATTGTTTCATTGAAGAAAATTTGAGTGCAATGCTATGAATGGTCGAAAGGGAATTATATGGTTGCTAGGGTGTGTGCTAATTGTTTTTTACCACATTGTTATCTAGTTGCTAAGGTGTGCTGGATGGTTGTTGCAAAGGTAGCTGCTTTCAGGCAAAGTCAAAAGTCTCTAGATATGCCTCAGGTCTCTCCTTCAATATAAGTCTATTTGATTTTATCTGATGTGCTAGTTTTATGATCTGTTAGATGAAAATCTTAGATCTATTTCATTCCTTAAGGTGCTTAAAAATGACTATTATCGGTGTAACCTAATGAAGTCAGGTTTCAGGGCCATCCCAAGCATGATGTCGGTGTATTCGCAATCACCTTCCAGAGGGTTGGGTCCCCCTCTGCCCATTCGCCGTAGGGCCCCCTAAAGCGTAGGCTGCTGTGTTATCGCACCACTTGCACTGCCCTTTAAGGACGGCCCTGGTCAGGTTTATTCAGTCATATAAAATATTTTTGACTTCTATACATCCAGTTAATTAGATGTTACCAGTATTTCTAGGATCTAATCTCATTTCACAGTTACGTTTACAACTACAATAAAAGTCCAGCACATGAGAGAATTCATCCAGTCATAAAAGCTTCCCAGGTCATTGCACAATGTACATTTAGTAAAAATGTGTCGTAACCTAACAGGGACTTTATGGAAAGCAATTGATGGGGTGGGAACAGCTTTGGTTTATGTTTTCACTCCAAGAGTCTGTTTATCTCTCATTTTACCTCCCTCTTCCTTTCTTCCCCTCGGTCTCTATGGTTATTGCATAACACCGTTTTGAAATAGTCTGGAGTGGTTCTTCCATCCTTTTCTTTATTCTCATTCTATTAGGAATGCATTGTGAAGCACACACATCCCTATATACAACCATTTCCTCTAGTATAATGGTTCTGTCATTTTAGTGTTTCAGTTCGCAAGTGCAACACACATTAAAAGTGAGTAATGTTCTGCAAATAATTTGTAGGCTACATGACACAAAGACACGGTCTGCCAACAGGCCGAGATAAGGTTGTTATTACCTCTGTTCCACACCTTTGTGTATGCAAGCACGTACAATGAGAGAAAGTAAGTTGACAGTAGAAAGAGAATGTAGAGGTCGAGATTGTTGCAATCGCAGTTCATGATTTTGTTTCCTAGCAGCAAAACTGTTATGGCACTGTGTGTAAAGCATATCAAACATGCATCGTTGTTCTTAAACACAGTACATTTCTACTATCACAATTTTAAAAAAGAAAAGAAAAAAAGGCATAGTTCTCCCAAATATTAAAATCATGCCAATTACTCACAGTTTTTTTTAAACCGTGGAAAACAAAATACGTTTTTTAAAGAACATCGCCGGTTACTATCGTAACCTCGGTTCCCTGAGAGGCGGGAACGAGACATTGCGTAGCAACGCTGCGGGAACTCCTCCCTTCTCCACTTTTGTTGAAATCTTATGGGAACAGCGTGTTGGAACAGCTGGCCAATTGTCGCGAAGTGCAAATACTGACAGGCTCGCCGGCAGTATAAAATGCACGGGACGCGAAAATTGCATCAGAATCACGACTGAACGCTTGCACAGCTGATCAAACAGCGAACACGGCGGCTAACGCAATGACTTGTTCCCGCCTCTCAGGGAACCGAGGTTACGATAGTAACCGGAGACGTTCCCTTTTGAGAGCGGTAACTCTACATTGCGTAGCAACGCTGCGGGATTTGTATTAACTCCCGCCGTGAGAGTAGTGAAAATAAGCCCTGAGAAACGGGGTCAAGCTACACCAGCCACGGAAGAGACAGACAGTCAGCCAATAGCCGCACCGCTAGAAGTGCTCGCATCTGATAGGCGGAACTAGATCAATGAGAACCATCAGCTCTGACCCTATCCAAATTTGCATATCCAAATGCAATGAAAGTGAAGGCTGCACCGATCCAGGGCAGACACAACACAATAAGCACTCAAGCATGAGGCTTAAACACAGTGTCTGTCAACGGTGGTAGGGGTGACAGCTGTATTAACACTAGTAGCCATATACACAGAGTTAACAGGATAGCGGTAACCACTGCATAGTTGGATACAATAGTTCACACAATACATGAGTAAGAAACTTAACTCACCGAAAGCTGTGACGCCACAGACGGTACATCCAGCTTGTAAAACCTGTACTTTGAATGGTGTAGAGAGTGACTTCGGCACGTAGCCCCGTCTAAGCCGGAGAGTGACGATGCAGTCGCCGGGTCCGAAACAGATACAATCATCGTTCACCGAGAACTCATGTAAGTCTCCAATGCGTTTTGCAGAGGCGAGAGCAAGGAGTAAAGTCGTTTTCAGGGAGAGCTCCTTAACTGCAATCGAAGCTAGGGGCTCGAATGGCGGTACAGAGAGAGCCCTCAAAACTAGAGCTAGATCCCACGGCGGCACAGATGGCGGCCGTGAAGGACACAATCTCCTCGCTCCCCTGAGAAATCAGGTCACCAGAGTGTGCTTACCGATCGATTGCCCATCAACCGGGGAACGAAACGAAGCAATAGCGGCCACATACACCTTCAGCGTGGATGGCAAGCTCCCGCTATACAGTCTGTGCTGTAGGAAGCGCAAAACATCTGACACGGACCAGATCACCCGGTCGATATTGATGTCCTGGCACCATTTTGCAAAAACTCCCCATTTTAGAGCATAAAGGCACCTAGTAGAAGGCGCGCGCCTCCGCAAGTGTGCCCAGCACTCGTGAAGGCAGAGTGTCTCGCTCATTTAAGGTCCCTGCAGCGGCCACACATGAAGGTTCCACAGCTCAGGGCTGGGGTGCCATATCGTGCCGTTCGCCTGAGACAGCAGGTCCTTCCTGAGGGGGATTTGCCATGGGGGAGCCGCCATTATCTCTCTCAGGTCCGCAAACCAGGGTTGGTGCAGCCAGTTCGGGGCCACGGGGATCACTGATGCTCTCTCCTCCCTGATTTTGCATAACACCATAGGCAGAATCTTCACTGGAGGGAACACTTAAAGCCTGG